CGCCCTTTCTAGGTTCGTGATGGCTAAGCAAAACTAAGACCACTCGGACACGGTTAAAAAGGGGTGAATTGAGTTAATACGAATATAATGGAAGCGGGTGTTGATTCAGTGAAGCACTTGTGGCCATTAGTTGCTGTTTTCACTCCATCCTTTGATTTGCACACACACACACACACACACACACACACACACACACACACACACACACACACACACACACACACACTATCACACTATCACAATCACACACACACACACTATCACACACACACACACTATCACACACACACACACTATCACACACTATCACACACTATCACACACTATCACACACTATCACACACACAACACACACACTACTCTGCTGGTGCATGGTTCTTGAGCCACGTCTGGCAGCGGGTGATGGTGGCGTTCTTGTTGAGGGCCAGGGCAGCAGCAAGCACGCGCCGCACATTCGTCACCTTGTCCGCGCTCTCAATCGCCGCCTTGTACGCCTGTCGCGCCATGTCCAGCTCAAGCAGCGTCGTCACCTTGAAGTTGTCCGAGAACATGCGGTTCACGAAGAAATGCGCCGTACCCTGCGAGTTGTGCCGCTTCAGATACACCGTCGCGCACAGGCGCAGCAGCTTGTCAAGCGCACTCGTATCCGTCATCACGCCTTTCATCCGGTCCAACAGCTCCTTCAGCCGCGCAGTCTATCATCGACAAAGAGGGAGGAGTAGGAAGAGGAGGAAGACAAAGCAAGGGTGGCGTAGGTTCATGTGAGAAAGCAAGGTGTGCACACCACGTGAAACGTTTGAAAGATCGTGTATGTGTTGTTACACACAAATGTTGGTACACACACCCTTCCACACACACACACACACAAACCCCTTTCTCCCTCTCCTCCCTCTCCTCCCTCCCCCTCCCCCCCCCCCACCACACACACCTCTGCTTCGGAGGCGAGACGGTTGCATGTGCTGGAAAACACCTCCCACATGCCGAGCTTGAGGTGTCGGATCATGGACAGGACGTTCTTGAAGATGACGCCTGTGCTCGCGGTGGAGCGACACAGCAGCTCAATGGCAAGCTGCCGCGCCATCGCCACAGACTTGAACACGTTCAGCTGCATGAGCTTCTCCACGTCCTCCATCCGGCCCTCCCCGCTGTCTCGGATGGCCTGCATGTGCTCGTTGAACACCGTCGCCGCCAGCCGCTGCCACTGCACCTTCGCCTGCAGTAGCGTCACCTCCTCCCGCGACCGTGCCGTCCCAGGATGGCTCAGTCCAGCAGTGCGCGCAGTCGTGCTGCCAACACCGCCAACACTGCTGCCGCTGCCGGCTGAAGCCACGCTGCTGCTGGACATGGTTCCGCCGGAAGTGCGCGAGCGCGTCGGCGATGGCGGTGGCGGTGCAGATAACGCCGCCTTGTCCACAGACACCACCACCTCCAGGTGCTTCTCCGCTTGCTCGTACCACTGCGTGCGCTGGTGCATGCTCAGCCCGGCCTGCGTGGCAAAACCCACGCACGTCGACACCGCGCTCACGTGGTCGTCCGCAAACAGCTGCAACTTGTACATCACCTGCAGCCTATCCTGCAGCCGGTGACAGGACACGCGGACATATGGCAACCACCGCCGCCGCCCCTCCGTCTTCGCCAGGCCGTGTTTCGTCCGGGGCGCAGCCTCAAGCTCCATGCACTGCAGCAGCGCGTCGAGGTCGGTCGCGCACTCTTCAAACCCAACCGTCCCGGCCAGGCGCCGTGTCGACAGCACGGGATACAGCACAAACTCGTGGAAGAGGGACGGGTCGAGCCGCTCATGCAGCACCATCCGCACCGCCGCATCGTACAGCCCGTGCTTCACGTAAAACTCAAGCAGCTTGTCGGGGCAGTTGCACGCCTGCGTGCACAGGTGGCGCGCCAGCAGCAGCTGCTGCCTGCTCAAGTGACTCGTCATGCTCACACGCCCGTGTGTCTCTGCACGAAGAGCCAGCGGGCCCTCAGCATCAGCCGGTAAGCGTGTCACCCCACCACCGCCACGACTGTTTTTGCTGTTGCCGTTGCTGCTGCTTGTCGCCTTGCGTTGTCTCCGACCACCACCACCACCCACATCGCCCCCGCGGTTGCGCTGCGCTGCTGCTGTCTGTGCGAGTTGTCGCAGGTTTTGACACATAAACGCCAAGTCCCCGCTGTCGTCGCCCGGCGGCTGGATCTCAAGCGTGGGCGCCTGCTCAAGATGACGCAAGATGTCCGTCAAGTGTTTGGGCTTCCGTGTTGTCTTGCGTAATGCGCTATCGAGCTTTTCGCGCGCTTCGTCGTACGACCGCACGCGCAGGAGCTCAATGCCCCACTGCATCAGCGCATCCGTGTCGTCCACCTGAAGCACGGCAATAAGACGGGAGGGAGAATTGTTGGGCAGTGTGGGGGAATGGGAGTGTGTGGCGAAGCATGACCAGTGTGCAAAGAGCGTCGTGAAGGCGTCAGCACAGCAGGCCGAAATTGGGTGTGAGACAAGGCAGCAAACAAAGCATCACAGCAGCACAGAAGGACACACCACACAGCATCACAACCCCACCACCACATACACAATCCCACCACCACCACCACCACCATCACCAACAACTCACCTGGCACTTGAGTGCAACCCTGCACGCGAGACTGAACATCTTCTGCTTGAGAAGGCGCAGCTGCAGCCTGCGCACACACTCCGGCCGCGCCAACGCGTCAAGCGAGAGCAGGAAGCGGCGATGCACGTTGCTGGCCACCAGGAAGCGAAGCAGCTCCGCGCGGCGCAGCAGCACCTGCGACACGGCGTCCCGCTCCACGTCGTTGACCTTGTTGAACTTGACGCGCGCCATGTACAGCAGCTGGTAGATGGAGGTGGTGAGCGAGTACAGGTCGACGCGAAGCCCGCGCACAAGCAGCGTCGACAGGTCGTGGGCAAGATCAAGGCAGAACTGCGCCGTCTTGGCCGCGTCAGGGTGCATGTCCAGCAGCATCGAGCACAGCACAAAGTCCGGGTGGGGCATGTACTCAAACCGCCGTCGCCGCACGATTTGCTCGCGTGTCTCCAACGCAACGCGCACCCGCTCGTCCAACGTCACCATCATGTGCCCATACTCGTCGGCATACATGCTCTGGCCAGCTTCATCGACTCTGCCCCGGCGCACAACCTCAAACCCTTCAGTGTCCGTATCAAACCCGCCTTCCTCTTCTTCCTCTTCCTCTTCTTCCTCCACAACACGTCCTCCACCAAAAGCACCGCCGCCGCTGCCACGCCCCCAGGCCGGTGTCGACGGCGTAATGGTGGCCTGGCTAGAGCCGTCGCCTGCACTCGCCACATCGGGCGCAAGCCGCTCCATCCCAAGCAGCGCAGTGCTGGTCTCCCCCACGCTCATCGCCTTGCGTGCGTAGTACAGCAGCAGATCACACGACGCAACAGCGCGATCAATGCGCTGCTGCCGAGGAGAGGGCCCTGCGGGCGCTGCGTCTGCTGTCTCCGTCGGTGCCGGCGGCATGCCGTAGATGGTCACCTGGGGCTCTTTGCGCGCTCGCCCCTTCTTGCCAGACTGCGATGGCTGCTGTGACTGCGACAGCTGTTGCTGCTGCTGTTGTTGTTGTTGTGGGGTGCGTCTGTCGCGAACAGCGCCACTGCTTGTGCTGCGAGCGGGTGTGGCGATGCTGCTTGTGCTCACGCCGCTGTGCGATGCAAACGACGACGACTCCCACGCATCCACCTCCTCCGCAGGCATGCACGGCAGGTTGTACTTGAGGTCATCTCGACCGTCCATGCTCAGCGCCAGCGCACGCGCCTTGCTGTCAAGTGCACCCAGCACCGTGGCGACGACGCGCGTCTCGCTCAGCACAAGCAGCTGCTCCACCATGCGCGGCGCAGAGGCAGTGAGTGGCAGCAGGCATGCGCGCAGACGCATGGGCACCGTCACCAAGATTGTCAGCACAACCCGGCTCTCACGCACCCGCGCCAAATCAACGCTCTCGCCACCACCACCTGCTGCTGCTGCTGACGACGACGATGGCGGTGATGGGGGCGTGGAGCGCAACGTGGACGATTTGCCGGGCGCTATCTTTTTTGCTCCCTTTGCTGCTGCGGTGCTGTGGGTCTTCTTGTCGCTCTGCACTCTGGAAGGAGACGCGGTCGACTCCACACCATTGTGTGGGGCGCCCTCACGCGTTGCAGTCGGTGCTGCAGCCGTGTCTGTCGCCGTTTTCGCTGCTTTCTTCTTCTTCTTTGGTGTCGATGTGGGCGCGTTCTCAAGTAGGAAATCGCACAGCATCAGCAGGCCTTTGAGATATGGCGCGCGAACCAGCCGGCCTTCCTCTTGCTCCACACGCACCCACTCTCCATCGCTTGGGACACCCTGCTGAACCTCACTTGCAACACCGGGACTGTCACTGCCAGTGCCTTCGCCTTCGTCCCCATGCACATCACTCTCATCGATACCATTGCCTCCTCCTCCTCCTCCTCTGCCCTTGCGTCTGCCCAGCCTGCGCAACCGCCCAAACAGCCTCCGCTTCGTTCCATTGCCGTCATTTCCATTGCCTGCACCTTCATTGCCTTGATCTCCTTGGGCGCCTTGCCCGCCGTGGACGTGGACACTTGAAGGCGCAACAGAGTGCACGCCGCTGCTTGTGCCCCGACTGCCAGCGCCCGATCGCCTCTCACTTGCTGCCGTCGTGGACGACATGGATACACCCGAGGCAGCCGACGAGTGCGTGCGTGTGCCACCACCGCCACCACCACTGCCGCTGCCGCTGCCGTGTGGTGCTGTGAATATGCCCACGCTTGTGGACACACCAGAGGTGCCGTTGGCGCGTGATGAGGAGACAACTGACGACGACGCGTAGCCCTCATGTGTCGTGCCCGAGCGCCACGAACTCGACACCACGCTGCCGGCCGCTGACGTGGACGCTGCACCAGAGGACCGCGACTGGGACCGCTGACCCGCCACTTGCTGCTGTTGGTGTTGGCGGTGGCGGCGGTCGTGGTGGTGCTTGTCGATTCGATCCAGCAACATCTTCCTCAGGAGGGCGTAGCTCGTCTCCAGTGCAACAGCAGCCGGCAGCCCGCCCAGCTCATCCTTGGCGCGCTCAACCTGCCCTTGCTGCAGCATGTTGTCAATGTGGCCCATCCACACCACCTTCTGGTCCTTGTCGTGCATCTTTGCCCACTCCTTCGCCAGCGCCAACTCGTGCCGTTTCAACAGCGTGGAGAGAATCAGGTTCTGCAGGTCATCCATCGACTCGCGCTCGCTCGCGCCCACACCAGCATCTTCACTGCCGATCCCGGGACCGCACGCACTCGCTCCCCGCTTCCCTGTGCCAGGCAAGGCCTGTAGGCCCTTGCGTCCAGCACCCACACGGGCGAAGGTGGACGTCGTGTCGCCCACACTCAAGCAGTCACGGGCATCGCACGTGGCCACGGGCACATACCCACACTTGGCAAGGCACCGGTCCGTGGCACCCGCGCCCGCACACATGCCGCCACCGTCACTGCCTGCAGCCACGTCGCGAGCAACACGGCTCTGCGCTGCAACGCGGACAAGCGACTGCCACGAGGGCAAGAGATCCTCGCACGCCACCATAATCTTCTGCAAGGAGCGCATCTGGTCAAGGCGGCGACTGATGGTAGCTGCCGTTGCCCGCAGCTGCTGCACGTGCAGTGCATGTGTGCACGACACAATGGCGGCATCAACGCGCTCCACGCTGCTGGCCAGTTCAGACAGGTGCTCATGGAAGAGGTGGAGCAGGTCAAGCGTATCCTTCATCGACAGCACGTGCAAGTGCTCCAGCAGCACCTGGGCACCCAGCACCTTGTTCTGGAACCGGCGCACATAGTCGGGCAGCTGGTACTGCGCCTGCTTGTCAAAGCGAATGTACGCCTCCAGCAGGCGGTCGTGCGTGATGGGCGCAGTGGTGCCCTCTGTCGCCGAGTAGAAGATGTACGCGTCCATGTACAGACCGGCCTCAACCCACCGCTCCACAAGTCGATGCACAGCATAGGATCGTGCGGGGTTGGCCTCCGTGTCCAGCAGAAACGCCTGCAGCAGGCGTGGGCGAGGCTCCACCAGTGTTGCTGCTACCGCTGCCTGGGACTGTTCTTGCTGTTGGGAGGGAGTGTCGCTGCTTGCACCATCATGTGCATCACCACCACCACCACCACGTGAGCCGTTGTTGCTGTTCCGTTCACCGTCTCGAATGGTGGCGGTGGTGGTAGTGGCCCTTTCAACGGCGGCTTCCTCGCCACCGGCCACAGCGCCCCCCTGTGCATCACCATCACTGGCGCCTGCTGGGGGTGGCGCGCCATCGAGCGAGAAGCACACGTCCTCGGCGATGCGCTGTGCAAGCGACGACAGGCGGTGGAACGGCCGCAGCCGCTGCTTCACCAGCGCCAGCACGGGCCCGGTCCTGCACAGCGCGCAGTACCGCTCAAACTCAACAAACAGGCCGCGCGGGCGGGCGTCGGCGGAGAGCAGAGACACCGCCTCTGTCGCTGTTGTTGTTGTCGACACAAACGACGAGATGGAGCTCGTGCGACCGCCTCGAACAGCAGACGCAACACCACCGATGGTGCTGCCGCTGCGGCGTGTTGTGTGAGGTGACCCAACGGGCGACACGGACGAGAGCAACGTACTTGCTGCACCTGCTGCGCGGGACGGCGTGCGTGCAGGCACGGCGAGGAACGGGCTGGATGGCGTGGACTCGAGAACAGCAGAGGCATCATCCGAGGTGTGCTTTGTTGGGGTGTGTGGCGCCTGGTTGCCCTGCTGGTGCTGCGACGACATGAAGCTGCTGGTGCTGCCTGGTCGGTTGCGCCGCCTGCCGCCCTCCTGCTGTGTGACTGTCTGCTGTGGGGCAGTGCCACGGTTGGAGGCAAGCAGGCCCACAAACTCGGAAAAGACAACAGCAACATCAAACATGGTTGTCTCCGACTGCTGCAGGTATTCCAGCACGTCGTCAGGCAGGCCCTGTCCAGCGCGCAGGTGCTGGTTCACCAGCCGCTGCTCCGCATCAACCGCAGCAGCATGGGTGGCGGTCGTCGTTGTAGCCGTGTGTGCTGATCCCTCGCCCAGGAGCGCCTTCAGCTCGGGCACAATCGCGGCGTCGTTGGCGCCGTGCTGCACGTTGATGGCTCCAAAGTGGAATACACACGCAGGCTCAAAGTGGTAGCGGGTGATGCGCAGAGACGTGGCCTCGCGAACGCTGCGCGCGTCCCTCAGGTTCTTTGGCAGCGGCTCCGTGCAGTACTCAACCAACTGCGCCAGCTCCCGCCCTGCCTTTGTGTTTGCCCTTTCCTCCTCGTCGGTAGTTGCCCCACCATTCGCAGCAGTGGCAGCGTGCGACGTATGTGACGTGTCAGACACGTCTCGACGTGCACTGCTTCGGCCACTCCCACCGCCATCACCGGCATCGATGGTGGTATCCGTGGCGCCTGCGGTGGGGAGGTGGTGCAGTGTTCCCGCGCGCCAGGCCGAGAGAGGCATGTCCAGGTTGAGGCCGAGATCACGGGAGTAGAGGCCAAAGTAGGGCGAGAGGGTGAGTGCGGCCGCAGCGGGGGCAGGGTGCAGGCTGCGCAGGTGGAATTGCGTACGCATGTTGCCCACCGCCGTCTGCAGGGACTTGGGCAGCACTGCAACCGGGGACGGCGACGACAGCTGTGCACGCCACAGCAGGTAGTGGAGCTCGGGGCTGACTGGCCGCAGCACGTGTTCGGCGAGCGGATGGTTGGCTGGGATGTGGACAGGATGCATGTCTTGCAGCAGCCCGAGCAGCCGTGGACGCGGCTGGTTCGAGTGGAAGAACACGTTCTCCAGGTCTGCCAGGGACACGGTGCCGAGGGAGCCAAGCTTGTAGCCAATGGTGTTGGCCCACTCCAGCCTGTCCACAAGGCCGTGCGGGGGCTGCACCTCAACGCACGCGTGCAGCTGCAGCATGTTGATCAGGTTGATAAACGCACACCGCTGCTCCGCCGCTGAGAGGGGCGAGAAGTCCACGCGCGCAAGCGCACGCACATCCACCCGCCACTGCCTGTACTCTGCACATGCGCACACGTATTGGCGAAACGCTGTGGAGAACACGGCTGCCGGTGGTATCGGGTCCTCAGCAGCGGCGCGCGCCCACGTCGTGCTGCGGGCACGGTACACGGCCTCCTCGGTCGGCGATGGCGGAAACACCGAGCCAGCACCACGGGCACCAACGCTGCCACCGCTGCCACCACTGCCATCCATGCCACTTGGTGTCGACAGGAGACCGCCAGTGTATGAGGCAAAGCTGCTTGCAAACGGATTGTTGGTGGTGTCGTCGCCGTCGTCACAGCCGTTGAAATCGCGACTGCACCGCTCCACCAGCAGCAGCAGCGTGCGCAAGAGGTCATGCGAGAGGATGCACGCGTTACGCGGGTCGTCAGTGTCATCAGACACGTGACGGCCCAGCGGCAGCGACGCAGCCACGCTTGATTCATCGCCATTGTCATCATCGTCACTTCTGCCCACGCTGTCATCGCCACTGTCACCGCCACTGTCACCGTGCTGCTCGCCACCACGAGCAGTGCTGCTGCTGCTGCTGCTGCTGCTGGTGATGGTGTTGAGCGGACTTGAGCCTGCACGGACGAGGGCACGGCACGTGGACAGGCCAAATTGCTTGCAGGCAACCGTGTGAGCAGACACCGTGGGCACGGCTGCTGACGCAGTTGCGTTGCGGGACGATGCGCTTGAGGCGCCACTGGCTGTCTTGGAGCTACCAGCTATTGCTTGGTGTGAGGAAGGCGCGCCAATGGGCAGCTGGGACGTGAGCTCACGAATGAGGAGGTAAGGCAAGTCAAGCCGGAGCGTGTTGCACAGGTGATGCGCCTCTTGCACAGAGAGCCGCGTGTCGGGGTGCAGCACGCATGCGCAGATGAGGCGGGTTGGATGCTGAGTCAGCACTTGTGACACGCCAAACGTGGGCGCGTGGGCGGGGAAGGCGGTGCGCACGGCCTGTGACAGCGCTTGAAACTGCTGCAAGAGCGTGGACAAGTACGGCACGCTGTTGGGCAGCGCACAGCAGTCCTGCAGGGCGTGCTGCACATCTGTCACCGCTGCTGCCACCTCGGCCTCAGCCTCTTCCTGCTGCTCTTGTTGCCGCCGCTGTTGCTGCTGCTGTTGCTGCTGTTGTTGCTGTTGCTGTTGTGATGCGTGTGCACTAGTCCACGCTTGCTGCTCTGGCGCTGCTGCTGCTGCTGCTGCTGCTGCATTCGCCTCTGCTCGCAGTGCCCGCTGCATGACAGCAAGCGCATCGCGCAAGTGCTGATATCGCATCTTGCGAGCGAGGGTTTCATCCGTGCTGAATGGGTTGGTCTCCTGGCAGATGACTGCTTGTGCCGCAGCGCTGTGTGCCGACACCATCTTCTCCAACCGGTCCAGCAACTCCTGAAACACGGCCAAACTGTTGCCACCATTTCCACTGCTATCGCTGGAGCTGGCCGTAGTGGTGGTGGTGGTGGTTGTGTCTGGGGTGGCTGTGGTGGTGGTGGTGTCTGTGGTGATTGTGGTGTCTGTATCTGTGGTTGCAGCGTCTGTGGTTGCAGTCACATGCGCAGCATCGCCCCCGTCCACAGCATCAGCACCATCAGCACCACTGGTGTCTTCGTCGCCCCCCTCTCCATTGACGGCAGCTGCTGGTGCATCGCTGCTGGCGCCGTCATCGTTCTGCCCGTCCGCTGCCGCCGCCAGGAGTTGGCGCGCCCTTGCCAGCAGCATCCTGCACTCCTCCGCGCGCGTGGCGGACGTGAGCACAAGGTCAACCAGCGTGCGCACGCCGAGTGCCGGCGGCAGTTTGGCGAGCAGCGAGTCCAGTCGCCGTTCAACACCGCGGTGCAGTGCCAGCGCAGCGGCAACATCTGCCAACTCCTGCGCAAACACGGCATCCGAAGCCAGCTGGCCCGTGAGCGAGTACAGCTGGATCACGGCCTCTGCCTGGGAGAACTCGCCTGCCTTGAGACAGGTGACGAGCAACGAGGAGGGCGCAGCCAGCAGGAACCGCAGCGTCAGATCCACTCCAGCACCGCCGTCGGCCGCGTTCAACAGCGCGTTGGTGGCGCTCAGCCCGCGCGTGCGTGTCAGCAGGGAGACGCGCCATGTTGTTTCCTCCAGACGTCGCTTCAGTGCCGCCTTGCGTGCGTGGTAAGCAGCGGCAGGCAGTGCGCACACGCCAGCCAGCATCTCGGCCGCCAATGCACTTGCCGTGTCATCGCCAGGACACAGCTTCCACCCATGAGCACGCTGCTGCTCTTGCAAACCCGTGGTGGGCGCGGTACTGTCCTCCCCATCAACTGCAGCAGCACCTGTCGCTTCTGCTTGCGTTGTACCATCCTCCGCTGTTGTCGTTGTTGTTTCTGCTGCTGCTGTTGTTGCGGCTGCTGTCTCCTCTGCTTGAGGGCTGAATGCTGTTGCTTCGCCTGGGTGTTTTGCATCGTTCGCTTGCTCTTCTTCCTCGTCGCGTCGTTGCAGGCAGTCCAGTCCCGCCTTGACAATCTCGCACAGAAACTCAACAGCACCGGCGCTGCACACAAACACGGGCGAAGGCGGCGATGACGACACGCTGTCCCCTTGCTGTTGCTGCTGCGACTGATGGGACTGCTGTGACTGCTGCGACTGATGTGACTGCTGGGACTGATGTGACTGATGCGACTGTTGTGACTGGTGGGGTTGCTCTTCGCCTTGGTGGACTCCTTGTTGGTCAGATGATGCAGGCGCCGTTGTTGCCACGTGCTCACCACCAACATCACCACCATCACCATCATCACCACCATTGCCTCCGTCAACAGCACCGTGACCGCGAGATGCGCGTACATGCTGCTGCTGCTGCTGTTGTTGCTGTTGTTGTTGCTGTTGCTGTTGTTTTTTCTCGACTGCGCTTTTCAGCCATGCTGGGCAGTCGTCCTGTGTGAAATCGTCGGCCGTTGCAAAGACGAGCGAGAACGCGGCTTCGAGCGACGCAACAGCGAGCGGGCGGTACGAGATGCGGTCCAGGTGTCGCAGAAACGCGTCCTTGGCCGCAGTGGCAGCAGATGTGGCAGAGGGGCGGGTCAGTTCCTCGTCTACACCACCACCATCACCAACGCTTGCTGCAATCCCCTGCTGTTGCTCGCCATCATCATCAACGCCGTGACTGCCGTTACCATCACCGTCGTCAGCACCGTGACGTGGTGCAGAACTTCGTGTCGCTGCTGCTTCTTCTGCTCCTGCCGCTGTTTCACCGAGCGCAACAACGCCGTCCCTCGCGGCTTTGATGGCCAGCACGCAGTTGAGGATGTTCATGTCGCGCACGTGCACGGCGTGGTCCGTAGATGTGCTCACGGGCTGGCGCACAAGCAGCGACTGCAGAGCTGCCGTGGTGGACGGATTGCGGAGATTGAGGCGATTCGATGCATGGTTAAGGTGCTCGCTGACGTTTGTGAAGAGCGGCTGCGTGTCTGGTGATGACGGCTGGTTGTGTGGATCAGGAATACCGTGTCGCTCCAGCAAATCAGCAAAGGCAACCTGTTGCAGATGGGGTGGTGTGTGTGTGTGTGTGTGTGTGTGTGTGTGTGTGTGTGTGTGTGTGTGTGTGTGTGTGTGTGTGTGTGTGCGCGCGCATATGTGTGTGTGCGCATATGTGTGTGTGTGTGTGTTTTTGCGTGAGGGGGTGAGAGTGAGGGGGGAGAGAGACGGAGAGAGAGAGAGAGAGAGAGAGAGAGAGAGTGTGTGTGTGTGTGTGTGTGTGTGTGTGTGTGTGTGTGTGTGTGTGTGTGTGTGTGTGTGCGTGTGTGTGTGTGAGGAGTCGGAGAAAGCAAACGCACAAATGGTTGAGCAGACACAGATGGAGAAGACGAACAAGAAGGAGCTGCAACAAACAGGGGAGAAAAACGACGCGAGAAACAGCAACCAGTGGCAACCAAATCGCCAACACGTCCTCAAGCCGGCCGCACATCAACATACACGTCACGTTTTTGCAGCACTCACTTGGTATGCTGACATGTGGTCAAAGTAATCCAACGAGGTTGGGTCGTTCAACGAAGCAACAGCATCGGGGGCGGATGTCGCTGTGGCGTCGCTGTGATCATGATGCTCGGGAACATCCATGCGTTTGTCACCACCGTCACTTGTGTCCTGATGCGCTCCTGTACCACCATCCCCACCATCATCATCATCACCAACATCACCGCCACCTTTACCACGACCAGCATCGCCACGAGTACGCGCTTCTTCGCTCGAGAGAAGGATGGCGCGAACACGAGAGGCGAGCGTTGCATCGTGTGCGCAGAGCGGCCATATCCACAGCAGCACACGCGACATGATTGGGGCGGTCGCCGGTAACGCCGCCAGCGCAGCAAGGCCGTCAAAGTTGCGCGTGTGCACGCAGTGTGCAGCCGCCTCCGCAAGTGTCTCTGTGACGAGCTGGCCCGATGTGAGGCTGTGCAGGTACAGCGCCTGCCAGAAATGGGACGGATCGTTGCTTGCATGCACGACGGCGTCAACCACTGCCTGCGGCTCCGCGAGTGCAGCGCAATTCCTCGCCTTCTGCCGCTCCCAGACGTGGCGATAGAGCGAGGGGTGGTGGTGTGAGAGCAGCGCATCGACCAGCTGCGAGTACGCATCGTCACGTGGCATGCCGAGCGCATCCACAAACGCGGTGTCGATGGCGTCCACCAGCGGCTCCAGTTCGCTCTCGTCGAGTTCGTTTGGCTGCATGTCCAGCAGCGTCAAGTGCTTGCACTGCTGTGCTCGTCTCCCCAGCACTCAGCGCAGACA